CATACATTTCTTACCCTCAAAGTCTTGGATTTGTATTTCTTGAATAGACATTTCTTACCCTCAAAAGTCTTGAATTTGATTAAGGTACCGACAAAAGTAAAAAATTTGGTACCATACCTCTAAAATTTGTTAGTTTAAAGGGTGTGCTGATAATTTTTGTGGAACATTTTATAACTAAAAAATTTATCACTTTTATAGGTGATTTATAACTTTTGTGGGTATTTTTACAATATTTGGATAATTATTTTTACCATTTTTCTTCCATACAAAAAAAAATTACAACTTTTGTGATTATTTTATTATATTTGTGGATATTTTTATCACATTTGTTAATATTTTAACCACTGTAGTAATTATTTTTATCATTTTTTTGGATGCCACAACAGTAATAAAAACGCTTATAAATATAATTAAAGTAACTATAAATGTGATAAAAAGAAGTATGATTGNGGAGGAGAGAGAGATTTCTATCATATAAAAGTTGGATTGGATGATAGTGGGGAGCCTTCGGTGCAAGTTTAGGTTGTGATGTGATTATTGTAGTCTAATGTCCCGTGTAATAGAAATTATGAAAAATAGGAGAGATATATTTTTTATTATTCAAAGAAGGAAAAGTAAGAATGATACATTTTTCATTCTTACTTTTTCTTCTTTTGTGTTTGATAGAATGAATGAAAAATAAAAATAATTAATTTTTTTATTTGTGTTGACTAAGATTAGGAGTAACAATCAAGGAGGAGAGAGAGATTTCTATCATATAAAAGTTGGATTGGATGATAGTGGGGAGCCTTCGGTGCAAGTTTAGGTTGTGATGTGATTATTGTAGTCTAATGTCCCGTGTAATAGAAATTATGAAAAATAGGAGAGATATATTTTTTATTATTCAAAAAAGGAAAAGTAAGAATGATACATTTTTCATTCTTACTTTTTCTTCTTTTGTGTTTGATAGAATGAATGAAAAATAAAAATAATTAATTTTTTTATTTGTGTTGGGTAAGATTAGGAGTAACAATTAAATCATGTCATATCAAGTTCGTGTTGAGTTATTGCGAGTTTGTGTCGAATATTAATCAAACTTAACTCAACTGATTTAACTAATTGTGTCGTGTCGAGTTGACCTATTTATTTTTTTATCGTGTTCGTATTCGTATTGACGTACATAAATTTTGAATAAAAATTTTAATATTAATATTATACTTTCACTTAATTGAATTCATGCTCATACTTTTTCTACAAATTAAAAATTAACTTAAATAAATATTATAATAATAATAATGAGTAAAAATATCTTTTTTATATAATAATATGTCAATGCTTAATAAATAATTACAAACTTGCAATATATTTTATATATTATATATTAAGCATAAAATATCAACTCCTCCGGTGTGTGAGTCTCTTGATATATTTTATATATTAAGCATATTTTCTTTGTTAAATTAAATTTTTTGCAAGTTATATTTTTTTTATTAATTATGGAAAAAATAAAATTGACTATTAACTTTGTATAATTTGTGTTTGTAATATTGCTTGAATGAAAGAGAGAGATATAAATGAATATTTTTATGATATATATTATCCATCTAATATTTATTACATAATTTTTTATCAGAGAGAGAGATAAAGATGAATATTTTCATAATATACTATTTCTCTCTGTGACATATACTCTTTATCTACATAGAGATGTAGTATTTATTTGAATCAGACACTATCTAATATTTTCGTAAGATACAAAGAGAGATAGAGAGGAAAATATTGTGAAAAATTGATATTTTTTGCGTGAATTGAGCGTGAGAGAAAGATACAGAAGAATGAGAGAGAGAGATTTGCTTGATTTAAGGAAAAAGATTTGTAAGAATTAAATTTTGAAATATCAATTTGAAAATTATAAATTTTAAGCAGCAAAAATATTTTAAAAGAGTTAATGTGGTACGTCAGATCAAAACAATTTGAGACGTCAATAGCTCGAGATGGTTTGAGATAACTTCGTCTGTTAGATGATATTTTTTTTTTATCACGAAACGATCTAGACTATTCTTTGTCTCTAAAATTCAAATTTATTCTACTTTATTATAAATATATAAACAAATAAGATACATTTTAACACAAATAATTAATTTTTCATCCACTTTCTTTCTGATTTTGAAGAGATTGATTTTGGTGAGTTGGAAAAAAATTTCATTCATCCACTTTTTCATCTTTCCTATTTTTCTTCCTTATCAAAAATAATGTTTTATTGATCCCTTAAACTTTTCATCCTTCCATTTTTTTATTAAACCAAACGGAGCATAATGGTTCATTTGGTAAGATGGATGAAAAAAATGTAAGTATAGAAAATAGGAGTAATACGATTTCCATCTTTCAAGGGAGGAATCATTCATTCTCTCCTTTATGTTTGGTAAGAGGAATGTAAACTAGGAAGACTTAATTTTTTTTCGGTTTTATAAGACGAAAAAAGTATTTTTTAAAAAAAAATTTTAAAATTTTTATTAGAAAAATATAAACATATATTTTACCATTATATCTATATATGAAATTAATGTATACATAATATGTAATTAATAAATATAATATATATATATATATATATATATATATATATATATATATAAATCAAATGATATATAGATAAATAACATACATTTTAATACATATAATTAATTTCTCATCAAATTTTTTATTCTAATTTTGAAAAAATTGATTTATTGAGTTTGAAAAAAAATTAATACATTTATTTTTTCATCATTCTTATTTTTTTTTTATCAAGTATGATATTTTATCTATCTCTATAATTTTTCATCTTTCTATTTTTATATCGAATCAAACAAAGTATGAGAGAGAGACTATTTTTATATCGAATCAAACAAAGTATGAGAGAGAGAGAGCCCCTGGCGTGGGTTTAGGTTGAAAGCTTTCTATCATAGGAAAAGTTGGATGGTAATGGGGGGCTCTTAGACGTTGGTTTAGGTTGAAAGCTGTCTATAACAGGAAAAGTTGGATGGTAATGGGGAGCCTTTGACGTAGGTTTAGGTATAGGTTGTCATGTGAATATTATAGCCTAAGTGTGAAAATGTTGATAAAAGATAAGTCACACTCAAGGTGCAATTTTCCTTCCTCTGCTACTTCCAAACACTCGCTAGATAATCTTAAGTGTAGGTTAAATTATAACAGGTGTTATTAAATTTGAATTTTGATAACTTTTCTCTCATGAATATTTTAATTATAACGGAAATGACTTATCTTTGACTGACCCGAGGAAGAGATTAATTGAAATGCGCATAAACTAGTTCGAACACTCCTGACCATTAAACCCACAAAAAAATTAATTGGACTAACAACACTACAGGTCCAGTGTACCATTTAGTAAAAGATAAATATACTCTACTCTAAGAATACAGTTTTAAAATTTGATAAGAATGATTAATTTTGATTTAAATGATTTGTTATTATTGATTAAAAAATAATAAAATAATATAAATAAATAAAAAACCTTACACGTCTTACATATGGTACGAAAAAATGTATTTCAATATTATAATGAGACTATTTGATAAAACTCATTGTAGAACTCCGAGCGGTAGTGTTCAAGTAATAATAAAGACAGACTATAAATGAAGANACTCCGAGCGGTAGTGTTCAAGTAATAATAAAGACAGACTATAAATGAAGATGTCCTGAGTTTTAATCTTGGTAATTTTTAGGGGTAGGTTATGAGGGATTTTTCTCTAATAAATACCTTAATCTTGACGTAAATTGTTTGTATTTAATCAGATTGGAAAAAAAATTAATCAAGATACGTATAAATTGATTCAAACACGCCTACTAAACAAAAAAAAAAGGTCGTCACAGTGGCTCAAATGAAAATGAAAATTTTTCTGGGGTACAATATGTCAAATGCAAAACTCCTAACCTAATTTGCGGGTGATTCTACGTTTNAAATGAAAATTTTTCTGGGGTACAATATGTCAAATGCAAAACTCCTAACCTAATTTGCGGGTGATTCTACGTTTTTGAGGAGTCCGAAATAATGATTACTTTGGATATGAAGCCGAGGATATTTCCTATGTAGCACCACCAATGTGCCAAAAAACCTAAGACCCTGCAGGCTAACACCAAAAAAAAAAACGTGGAGTCTGATTTTGAGACAGAAAAATCCTAGGGGTGGGGGCAGTTGAGCTGGGCCATAACCCAGAAAACAAGCAAAGATTGCTTAGCAATCAAAGGTAAGGACAACAAATCATTCATCTATTGGCTTTACTAGTAAAAAAGTCTTTTAGTTTTCTTTAAACAATTTCAATGCAAATCCACCACAGAATTTTTGGGTGATGGGTCTTTTCTTGGACACTTAAGCTTTCCAAGCCCTATCATTAAAGAGAAAAATTAAATAAACAAAAGTTCATTTATAGTAACCAAATAAAAGAATAATTCTATTTTGACTAAAAATCAGACTTAATTTATTAATTTAATGATATAAATTCATTATAACTATTTAATTAACACTAAATTTTAATGTTTAATGAAATTCACAGTCAATCTAATGACCATAATGAATTAGGTTAATACATTAGATCTCAATAGTATTGTTTGACCTAATTCATTATAGGTCTTGGATTGACTGTGAATCTCATTAAACATTAAAATGTGATGTTAATCCAATGATTACAATAAAATTATATCATTAAATTAGTAAATTTGATCAAATTTTTAAGTTCAAATAGCTGTACTCAAAAAATATTCAAGAAACAAGACATCAAGCCTAATAGTAGGAGATTGGTGTTAAACTGGAAATTAACACCAAACAATTTTAGTACTCAACCATAACTATATTAATAAAATTCTAATTCAAAATCAACCTTTGGTTAGATATTGACTTGATATCTTAGTAGGGTCAAAACTCATCGACCCTAATTTAGAATTTATATACTATTTTCAACAAAATACATGGTCTGCCTTTAACTAAATCGAGAGAATAATAAGTTGAAATGTGCATGATCTAACTCGGATGATTGTTGAACAAAAAAAAAAATATAGCCTTCCATGGAGTTATCAACACACCCTCTAATGTATTTGGGGGTATTGTATGTTACCCAAGAATATTACCAAAAAGAAAGTTCCATACAAAATTCAAAGAACCATTGATCTAGCTCATAAACTAGGGCAAAATTTGTCATCTCATATCTTTTACATCTCAGCTCATACAAATCCATGCTCGGAAGCTTTATGTTTCATTACTTTTTACAGAGTGTACAAAAAAGGGCGAGAGCCCAAACCAAAATCAAAAGAGGAAAAGGCAAAGAAGAAAGCAGCAGAAGAAGAAGATTGTAATCCTGTTTAGAGACTTGTCAGCCTGAAACTCTAGCCTTCTCAACCTTGGGCTGGTACTTCCTACCAAATGGTATGAGTTAGGATAAGTATATAAGCTCTCTGAATTACCAAATACCCTAGCATAAACCATCTCCCCATACATCCCGACCAGCGGAGGGAAAACATCCGATGCTGTACTGCCCCCATGGTTAAACAATGGAGGGGAAGAATCTTCTTGATAATTTCCGAATGAATGAGTGAAATGTTGTGGATTCTGATAGGGATTTCGGTAAGGAAGTTGCTGACCATGATTTGATGGATTAATCAGGTCTTGTGTACCACAAGCTGGCGGCCTAGGAGGTATGATCATGCTTAGAGAGGAAGCCTTGCCTTCAGGCTCGGCCTCGGATGGTGCTTGGCCCCGGCCATAAAGAGGGACCACGGTTGTGTGGGATATACCAGCTTTGCAAACTGGGCATCGTGGAGGTTCATCTGAAGCAAGCGAGGCACTTTGGACATGGAACCACTTGTAGATGCAGGGCCAACAGTAGAGGTGGCCACAGAGGGTAACCACAGGATCACGTGCAAAGTCTAAGCAGATATTGCAATCAAAGCAACCAGATATCTTCTCGGAATCTCCTGCTGCGACTGAAATGGATTTCCATTCCTTGGCAAAGTATTGCTCAAAGGCCATGGCAGTGTTGCTCACAATTTGTTCTAGATACTAGCCCTTAACTCTGAAAGACAAGAAAAAAGAGCAGATATTTGAGTGCCTGAGGTTTAATTCGTTGATAATTGACAAACTAAGAATAGATCTAATATATGGCTTAACCTTGAAACACAAACAAGCAAAAGTAAAATGCAGAACACTATACAGGACAGCTCTTATGAACCAAAAAAACAAAAAAACAAAAAAAACAAAAAAGGGGGTGTTCACAAATCATGTGCCAATAAATTGCCCAAGTTTCCTATTGCAAGCAATTGAAACTCAGAAAAATCCAAAACAACCAGGACCATAAGGGGAATTGTCAGAAGATGTTATGCCCCATCTACCAGTGGGAGGCACATAAATCAAAATAATTGAATGGGCCCAAAAATTAGGTTAAATTTGATTTGGAAGATAAAGTAAAGGTGACAGGCACCAACTGTGATAACCCTTTTCTGTTTGTTTCACTGATATTCAGACAAGATTTCTTTGGCTTAACTTTACTATTCAGATAAGAATTCCAACTTGTAAGACCTAAAAATAAGCAATGAGCTGTGTTATTTCTCACAATTTTCTATACAAATCCCTGACTTCAAGCAGACCACTGATGATGGTGACAACAAATAGCCGAGAAATCAATAATATACAAACATCTATATCATATTACAAGTAAGATGAATTCTCAATTTATAAAAGCGCAACTGTTACTTTCATTAAATGGTACAACAGTTATCCCAAAAATTCTTTTCTCGCTCAAAAACATTATTTTCATTGCACACCCCACAATGCTAGACAATCCCATTAATTCACACCTATATATCTCTTTCGTATTTTAGTTTTGTTCAATTAATTACTAATTGCGTGATTATAGAGAAAAAAAATAAAAAATAAATTTTAAATGTTATTAGATCAATGTTTTATTTTTGGTATTAAAAAATATCTTTGGACACAAGGTTATTATTGGTACAAAATATATGACATTGCTTAAATGCTCTGCTTGATATTAGATTGGATGAAGCATAAAAAAAAATATACTAAAGTAATCCGAAGCTTCTAAGCAAACTCCGCCTACCTAACTTTTAATAAGTGGGCCATGTCATGGGTGGAAAATTAACATCTACTTGAATATTAAATACATTAGCCCGAAAATCCAATCTCAGCTTCTGATTTAAGTTGATATAACCACCACTTGTATGTCTTTAACCATACCAATATACCATACTTATTCATACTTCTTATAATTAGTCTCACCAGCCATATTGTACACTTTTTTTGCCCTATAAAGGGAAAGATTATAGATGTTGCACACATCAAGAAGAAAGATGCTTCATGCTTTTGAAGAGAAATGTCAAAGTTGCCGGCTTCAAGCAAATGGCACAACTCTGGCAACTGCTGTGGGACCAAAGGGCATGCCTTCTACTTTTATATGTTTGTTCAAACATTGCCTCAATACTATAAAAACATAGCGCATTATAAAGGGGACGGTAATAATGACAAGGAACACCGCATCTGGGTCAGATAATATCCAGAAAACGAGTTTTCCAAGTTGATCCTCAAGTGCTAAAGTTCCAGACACCATAATAATAATAATAAAAGATCTAGTGACCCATCATAGACGACAACAAGTTAAACAAGATAACTTGAAAGAGCAAGAAAAAATCTCTTTAAGCTCAGACGCATGATTTATTATCACAACAAGTTCTCTTTTATTCTGAAACAAAGATTTCAAATTACCATTGGACAACACAGCAAAAAATGCTCAGCCTATACAAATCGAAAAGAATTTCGGGGAAAGAAACATGTTTGTGCTAATAGATGTGGTTGCTGATAATTGGGAGTGGGGTGCAATTTTCTCTTTCTCTGATCCACAGATCATCTGAACCAAAACCAAGTTATTGAACAAGAAATATAAAATGAACACAACAAAGTTGTTAGGTGTCTGGCTTTTACTCTGCAAAATGGCATCACAACAACTACATTAGAGGAAACTTTAAAATAGCTACTACCATTTACAGGTGGAGTGCTTGATTTTCAATTCAAATACTCACAATAAGAGCACTGTTTTGTGCACCAAAACTGTACACCAAAATTTGCACCAAATCGCTTGCGACTGTCAAATCTGTGGGTCTCATCACTGATCCAACGGCTGCGACTGATTTGATGCAATTTTTGGTGCATAAAAAATTACTCTTTAGAATAATATTTCATCCAAATTTCAAGAACCCTTGGGCCAGATTCAAAGGTATTGGCTCTTCCACAAATAACTTAATAGTTAATAGAGGTAACAAGTTAGGCAGGCAGTATATTAATACATCTAGAAGAGCTCAACCTGCCTCACCCATCAATCTAGAGCTGCCAAAGACGACAATACAGGTTTCATTTACTATTACAAGGAACAAAAGGGGCGGAAATAACAATACTTTGAAGAAAATAAAAGAATTCAATTTCATTTTTTCTTTCGCATCAATTTTCTGCGAAAACTGATCAATCAAGAAAATATAGTCGAGAAGATAAATGCTGCTACGCAAATGAATGATCTAAAACTCAATTTCTCAGATTTCTCTCATGAAAAATAACAGATTTATTTTCCACCACAAGCAAAGACAAAGATGTATGCTTCTACAAGGCAAAAACTGGAAGAACAAAAAAATTTCAAAAGAAAAAATAATTCTAGATTTGTTTTCAAAGCAACATATAGAAAATCTGAAACAGAAATGAAGGAAGAAGAAGAGGAAGGAGGATCTTCAATACATACCGAAGTAGGCGAAACGGACTCAACACAACTACTCTGCTTTGCCGGAGCTTCAATGAACGCTAGAGAGAGAGGCTGTCGGCTGAGTAGAGCTTTGCTCCTTCACGTTTTATAGACGAAAAATGAAGGACCTTCGGTTCCAAATTCTACCGACGTGGCAATTCGGGTGGATGATATCTGCTTTAATTTAGGGCGAATTACACTTTGTATCATAGATATTTAAGAATTTTTATTTTGAATCTGATAAATTAAATTTTTTATATTATATATTTAATATATTAAAAATATTACAATATAATCCTGCCGTTAATTTTTACTGCTCATCTTGTCAAAGCAATGTCACATTAAAATAATATGAAAAATAAAATTTTTTATTTTTTTGTGATGCAAATGTTCAATTTTCTCATTAATCATGAATTTATCTCAAATAATTATAATTTTATTTTAAAAATATAATTTCTATATTAAAAAAAAATAACTTTCGGTACAGGAATTTTTTTTTTTTTTTTAAATACTGTAGAATTCCCCTTACATTGCAGTCTGTAACTGATGACTGACCAATCACATTAATTAGTAATATTATTGATGTGGCTTCTAGATTGTCTGTCCCAGTCTTCGCTCTTACTCATCTAGAAAGTAGCTTTTGCAATCAAGGACCTCGTCGCTCTTGCTCTTCTAGAAGAAACAGTTTTTGCAATCAAGGACGTCGACGGTAAATATTTACAAACAAACAGAAAAATCAAAAATCAAAAGCCGATGAGTAAAATAAATATCCAAATGTAACTATAATATCCCGTCGGTCACTATTCAATAAGCAATAACAAGTGTACAGAAACCCAAGGTGGGTTATCCCTGGGGGTGCAACTTGGGTTGGAATTGCACCCCTGATTTTAATTCGAGCTCAATCCAAAAAAATTAGAGTTTAGACAAAAAATTTTAATCCGAATTCAATTTAGGCAGACCTCAAATTGACCTCTCGGGTTCACGGGTTGAACCCGAATATTAAAATCAGGTTCAACTCGAATTAATAATCGGGTTCAACCCAAATTACTATTATATAAATACAATTTTTGAATGTTATGTAATATATTTGAATGTTATGTTTGTGTTCTGTTAAACTGATTGTTGGTTGTTAAATTATGTAATATATTTGTGTTATATTTGAAGTTGTTAGTTGTTAAATTATTTGAATATTATGTAATATATGAATTAGGTTTAGAATATTAACTCGAAATCAGCCCGTAAAGTAACTTGAAATCAGTCTAAAATCATTAACCCGAATTCAACCCGAGCTATCTGAATTAAACTCGGACAGTGCTTGAGTTGAATTTATCTACCCGAGATAAGGTTAGAGTTAGGGTTGAAGATTATATACCTAGGGTTGACTGTCCAACCTATCCGAGTTGCACCCTTAGTTATCTCATTCGTTTCTCACCCCACATGATAAACCTAACCTCATAAGAGGTTAGGGATTTGAATATTTCATGAAACATAATCTATTGAAGTCTTCGTTTATAAATTTAATCTTTGGGCTCGTTTGGTTATCATATTAGAACTGGATAAATTAGATAAAAGTATACAATCTAATTCAATACAAATGAATTAAAGACAAAATTACATATGATATTAAAATAATACGTAATTTTATCTAGTGTTTGGCAATACATAATATAAGCGTTAGATAATAGTTATTTAATCTAATCGGTTATTTGACTAGAGAATTATTTCATCGTATTAATGTTAAATTAATAAAAATACTTTCAATCTGTGTTTGTTACATTGATGACAACTTGAATTTATCACTTCGGGGATTAGAATAGTAAATGTGTAGAATAATATGTTTAAGTTGGATTATAATATCACCTCTTTTGGTGATATTAAAAAACCTCCATAATACAGGTTTATCGTATAAAAAATATACGATAAATATATATTTTTAAAATTAATACGGTATCAAATTTTTTTACCAAACAAAATATTAGGCCCGATTAAATAAAAAATAGTATAATTCAATATTTAATCCTTTCATAATACGTCTATCAAACGAGCCCTTTGTGAAGAGGTGATTTTGCACAAGGTCCAACATTAGTCTGATATATGATTGGGATAGTATTACGGTAATATATTGAGACAGTTGAGATATCAAAAAATAATAATAAAATAAATGGACAAAATAAACCCTATTAATCAAATGTTTTAATGATTGGATATGAATGATTATTAGTAATTATTAAAATATTTGTATATTTTTAGATACTATTTATAGGAGAGGGGGAGAGAAAGAATGAGTTTTGAACCTCAGACCATAAAGTTTAACAATGAGGGCGATGATCATTAAGCCAACTTCTAACCTCTAATCAAATAGTAGAATTCAGTTCGCCCATTTGTTATTTGTTTATCGGAGCGAGAAATTATGCAATAATAATAATATGATATCACCGTTATATTAAATATTTTCTCCGGCCAAGGGTAAAACAAGAACAACGACAAGTAAAATAGTATCAGTGACAAAAATGGTTTGCGTGTGTGGGCCATCTGATGCCGATTTCTTGATATAAGATGTTCAAAATTCCAAAGTAGTGTCTAATTGAGGGTTAAACTAATTGGTTTATTTTGACTTGTCTAATTGTTAAGAGTGGTTTTCTTGGACCAGTTCAAGTAAAAAGAAGCGGTTTGTAATCTACCTTCTGTGCTCTTATGATCTAGATAGGTTAGTAAAAAAATTCAATTGAAAAACGTCGAACTTAGTCAATAATTCAATTGAAAACGTCCAACTTTCTCTAAGTTTTGAAGATCCTCTTATGGTGGTTATAGGCACATTTTTAGTTTTGATTATAAACTATCAAAATCTTAGTTGAAAGTTACTTATATTACACATTTTTAGTCAAGAGTTACCCAAATTTTGGTCAAAAACTACCTAAATTATTTTATGTCAAGTTTATGATAAAAAATTATTAGCAATTTAGATGTTATCTGTTTGAAATATCATATAAAAATATATTTTCTATTTAACAAAATGATCGATGTCGTTTTGATTGACAACATTCTTATTGATAATTTGAGTATCGATTATTCCTCGACATTTAAACCTACCACCATAATTTGAATTTGTTGAAGGACATGCCTCCTATGAAACAATGACAGCTGACCTTTCAAGAGTGTAAAAAATACCAAATTTTTTTATTTAGAAGAGGGCAAATCGACTGCTGATCATTGATAATAGAGTAATGTTGTACAGACTTAAAAATCAAAATTGATAATCTCAACTATTAAATAGGTAGTGGGTCCTAATAAATGGTAAAACTTACAGTGAAATCAATGATTGAGATTATCAAATTTAATTTTTAAGTTGATAGCATAGCATGCCCATGGGTGAAACTTAAATTATTCCTTATATGTTTGCCACGTGACAGCGAAGTCATTGGTTAGGCGTTAAGGCGCTCAAAAGTCTACATTATTTGTAACAGCATTTAATTCTTTTGGTAACACAGCAACTTCTAGAAGGTTGCTGGTAGGTGTGGTACCAAATGTTCAGTGTTATCAACACACCATATGGAGACCTATTTATTAGAATTTAAGTGTGGTACCAAATGTTCAGTGTATGATCATTTTGGTCTCCTCATGTCATTGTTTAGAGTAAATTACATATATATCCTTTAAACTATAATATTTGTGTCAATTAAACTTTTAAATTTTTTTATTTTTTTATTTTTTTTTATGTCAATTGATCTCTTCTATCTATTCTCGTTAGAGTGTGTCACTCACGTGATCATATGTCATGAAAAGATAAAAGGGATCAGTTGACATAATTAGAGAGTTTACGGGTTCAATTGATACAAAAAAAAATTTAGAGACTTAATTGACATAATGATCATAGTTTGAAGGTCATATGTGTAATTTGCTCCAACAATTTGTGTCAAGTGAATGACATACTTTACCACTTTCTATTAGAAAATCTAATGGAAGCAAGTTGAATGGCTCAATTAACACAATTAAAAAGTTTACGGGTTCAATTGATACAAAGAAAAAAATTTAGAGACTTAATTAACACAATGATCATATTTTGAAGGTCATATGTATAGTTTACTCCAACAATTTGAGTCAAGTGAGTAACATATTTCACCATTTTCTATTAGAAAATCTAATGGAGGCAGGTTAAATGAGTCAATTAATATAATTTGAGAGTTTAGTGGTTCAATTGACACAAAAAAAAAAAATTCAAGAGTTTAATTGACACAAAAATTATAATTTGAAGGTCATATGTATAATTTATTCTGTCTTTTATTATATTAATACAATGTTATTTGAGCCTAATTTATTAATTCTGGTTAATCCATTTTCTACCGTTAAATTGACAGGGGCGGGGACGCTGGGACCTAATATTAATTGAGACTCACTATTAATTTAGTGATTCTGATGCTTCTTGTTAGTAAATTACGTCTGAATACTATTTTATTTTCCCTTAGCCTAATAACTGTTGGGTTAGCCCTAACATGGCTAGATACGACTTTCTGATATGGACAACGACTTGGATGTCTAATAACATGTGAACGATTATAGTATTGAATTTGGTATAGTATTAAAATTTATAATTAAATGGGAGTCAATTATAATTTAGTTAAAGTTAAGTCACAATTTTAAAAGATCATTTGCTATTCAATAAGACTAAGTTACAACATCAAAAAAAAAAACTAAAATTTGTTATACCATGTTAACATGGATCCTAAGTTTCAACATGGATCTAATATGAATGCTAAGTTTCAATGAGGAGCTCAGTAATCTAAAGATTCAATATACAAGTTTGAAATTTACCAACTTAAAAGTTTAAGTTTATAGGTAATAATCACCCGAATTGGTGGTCTAGTAGTAAGACATATCAATTTAGGGTCTTCCTTGACTCCTATGTAGTTATCAAGCATAATTCGATGCACAGAAATAACGTAGTTTTTTGCTTGGTTTGGTGGTGCGGTGACAATTGGCTGTCCTTTCAGATTAATAGTTATGACTCAAAATTAAATATTCTACAATGGGGGCACCCTCATGGCCACGGCCAGAGAAGTTATTACCTACTAGTCGTCTCCTCCTCCCTTTTCCCATAGCAAAAAAAGAAAGTTTATTGATAATATACTCATCCAAAATATATTATGACGATTTCAGTTGTGTGTGTTACCCGGTGTAGGATTCCAAACACATGTGATACATATCAAACTTAGCTCTCCCTTAAGTATGATCCACCATTCTTCACAAAGACCGCGACCACTCTTTGAAAAAATAAGTTTTTACCACTCTACAAAGAGTCTTTACGCTTATTTATTGTTGTATTTTCATTACATCAAATACCTGCACACTACATCATTTTTACAAAAGTCCACCCAAGATTGTCAATCATTAGCTCTGATATCACGTATACATCCAAAAGTTGAAGCATGCAAATAGTGAGTCAATCTATAATATATACGTTTATTTTTATTTTTACCAACAAAAAATACGAATAATACGGATCTATCCTTATAATTTAGCAATGAGATTAGATTCCACATCTCACCTTGGAAAGGATTGTAGTGATATTTACCCAAGGTAACCCACACATGTGATGTGTAGATCACTTGTATTGACCATCTAGAGATCTTAGGAAACCTTGAGCTTTCCTCGGAAGTTTCATCACCAAATCACACGTAGATATTGACCGTCTAGAGGAATGAGACGGGGCTCTCTAGAAGGGTTATGCGGTGAAGGAATCGTATAATTTTCTATTGTATTCCTTTCCAAAAAAAAAAAAAAAAAAAAAAAAACGAAGTCACGAGGGCAAAAATTGGGCCCCATTCGTTGAACGTTGAATGTCCACAGTCCACACACTACTCTTGGTTGAGGAAATCTATACTGTTGAATTCCACGGGACTGGACCCACAAATTACGTGATTCTCACGTCTAATTCAAATTGAGCCATCGATGGTACAAAGAGTCAAGCCTCGTGATCAAGGGTAATATATGGTCTTTTTAAATTTTTATCAAACTGGATTACTTTCGCCCATAAATTTTTTCCAATAATATTTATAGATGAAGATCGTGTCTAATATACCCATTAGAATGTACGGACAAACTTATGTGTATGTGTGTGGGGCCGTTGCCTCCGCCGACTTTTGAGTAATTACCAAATACATATTGTGATGGCAACAAAAATATGACTTATTTATCTTATTGTCCCGTTTAATTTTTTGAAAAAAAATTTAATAGTGCCCCAATCATTTGTATCTTTAGTAAGTTATTAATCCCCTTGTTCCTTAATCTATTATAATATTAAAATATTTTATTGTTAGACTAAATAAAATAGATGAGAAAGTCAAATAAATGGGCTAAAGACAATACATTCACTATGTAATACACTTCCTTTTACTTATAAAAAAAAAATGAATGTGTAGTTGTCCCTAATTCATTATTACAAGTTAGTTACTTTAAACCTAGGAACACATGAATAAAAGTGTTTATGTCCTTTTAAAAACATCGATTTGTCAACAAGATTAAAAGAAATTATTTTAAAATATCTTTTAGAACTGATCAATTATAGACGATTATTAGAATTTAAAATAGCATCTATATGTTTCTCTTTAATATATGAATGAATTGAAATGTGCAATTAAAATATTTTTATTTTTTATTTATTCATATTAAATTAATTTTAATTTTAATTTTCATTATGTAATTAAGTCTTTGATCTTACATATTTCTCATAGGCGAACTAAGGAATTCTTTGTGTGAAATATGCACTAATTTAGTCATTATTAATGCAAAAAAAAAAAGGAAAAATTTAATACAAGCTAATTATTTTTTTTATATGATTTTGCCCTTATTAGAATAAAATCCTAACTCCGTCCCTATTAGATAGCGAGCTTAGTAGCCAACTATGGTCATATGACATTCTATGAGCCGTCTATTCGCTCGACGGATAGAATGGTATGAGATAATTTCTAGGGGCTTTGGGAGGCCGGTACCTCCCAAACAACTTAATAGGATAAAATTATATTTTTTAAAATAATTGGGATAAAAGTACATATGCTTAAAAAAAAATCATAAAAGCTCTTTTACCCCTACCATAAATAGTGCATACCTAATTGAATGTGAGAGTTTTAAAATTAGAATGTGAGATTTTCAAGATTTCTTTTGATATTTATGTATCATTTGAATTTTAAAATTTCATATATATACACACACACACGTAATACAGTGACACGCTCAACAAAAAAAAAAAGTAACATCAAACAGTAACACACCTTACAAAAAAATAGTAACATCAAACAGTAACATACTCAACAAAAAAATAGTAACATCAAACAGTAACATACTCAACAAAAAAATAGTAACATCAAACAATAATACAAATATTTTTGTTGAGTGTGTCACTGTTTAATGTTACTCTTTTTTTGTTGAGCGTGTCACTGTTTGATGTCACTGTATTACGTGTGTGTGTGTGTGTATATATATATATATATATATATGAAATTTCAAAATTCAAATGATACACAAATATCAAAAAGAATTTTAAAAGTCTCACATTCAAGTAGATATGCATTATTTATGGTAAGGATAATTATGGAATACATTTTTGAAAGAATTTGAAAATATTTTAAAATGTGTACTTATTGACAACTATTTAATGAAAAAGAGGATTTAAAGGAAAATAAATTTGGAAGTGGTACTTAAAGCCAAATAAATTTTCAAAAAAATACTCACATCCCATTATCTCTAATTTCTGATCCTTTACGCCTAACTTCACGCCATTTAAAGCCCATGATGTGGCCCGCAATGGTACAAGACTCGTGGTGAGGACATTGGGCCGGAAGAACATGAACTCTCGTGCACGTACCAAAACTTTAGTATTTGACTCAGTGAGTTTCACAACAACTCGCTGAACTCATCTCGACACGTTTGGCTTCGCGCCAGTATATAATATATATGAAATTCGAATTCGAAAAGACGAACCTGTTCTTCTTTTGAGAGCTAATTCGAGAATTCGCAAAATGTCAACTGTGAAATCAAGTGCCACTAAGAAACGAGCTTCGTCTACCGAATTCGAAACTTCGAAATCGGAAATACGAAAAAGAGTGATCGCCGAGGATGATTTCGATCCAGATCTCTCCAAGTGAGTCTTCAAAACCTTTTATCTCCCCTAAATTAGATGATATTTGGAGTTCTGTGGTATTTTTGAATCTCTGTTACTTCAATTCGGTTGAAAGTGTTTGCAATTGCAGCGATATCAAAGGGATTATGAGCGCACTGCAACAGATCAGAGAGAAATCTAAAAAAGACGGTCAGAAGAAGAATGAAGAGACGATTTCTAGGTCATTTTCTTTGTGTTTTTTTTTGATCTCGACTGATTTCAAGCCATTCTTATATGTGTGAATCTCTATCCCTCTTTCGGTATGTGTTTTGAATTGAAATTGTTGTTCTGCGTCTGGATTGTTAATAACTTCTGCTGGAAATTTGGACGAGATCGATTGCGTTTCTTAGATGAATTTTATACACGAGTGTGCATATGTATTTGCAGAGAATTTGGAACTGGAATCTGTTGAAATTCTTGAATAAAGTTCTAATTTGTGTAGCTGGTTTTGAGCATTTGTGTGGTGTGATCTCTGGGAATATATTTGCTACTTAGTTCAGAGTGTTCAATAGGAAAACTATCGAGTGTGTTCAAATTGATTACTATGTTTCAGATTAACAACAAAAACATCCAGAAGTGATGGAGAGACCGACTACTACATCAACTTCATTGCTTGATTAGATTGACATTGTTTAGTTATGATGCTGTTTCGCTGCTTATATAAGTGATTGTCATATTTCAGTTGTATTTATCAACTCCTAATAATTTCTCAGTAAGTGGTTGTGTGTAATTGCTTTTAAGAAAAATTAGATAATGTGTTATTGGATAACTTGAAAATGTGCAAGTTGAATGTATATCAGAATATCAGATGAAATTGTATGTATTTTCTACCTTCATTTTTTCTGCATTTTATCTTTATGTATCTAAACTTAGTAAGGATTTAGTATCCTTACTAAGTTTGTCATTTTTAAGAGGATCGTTGGTAAATTATGTTCATGTCATCGTTGCCAAAGTCAACTTACTTTGCTGCTTTGTTGTTTATTAGTTGGCACTCTTTTCATTACTGAAAAAAACTTAGGAAAAGGGGAATGGCTAGCTAATATGATGTTTCCCCTCACAATTGCTTCCTAAGTGATTTTTTAACTCTGCAAAATTCTTGTAAGACTAATCAGAGCTTATTCCTTGTTAATTGTTGGAAACATAAAAAAAAAAAGAAAAAAAAAGTTAAGGAATTATCCTCCTTTAGTTTTATATATTTCAAGTTTCAATCAATCAGCAACCAAGCTAGAATTTCTTATTTTAGTACTTCAATTCTGTTCTAAATCAAATTACCTGTTGATTTTGGGTTCCTGACAGCGTGGCGACTGAGATCAAGTCTAAGCTTGATGAGTTGAAGTCAAAACTTGAAAAAGAGAGGTGAGACAATCACTGGACCACATGAATTCGGAAAAGGATTTAGTATCCTTACTAAGTTTATTGCCCATGTTATTCTTCATGAACATTGCTTGTCTGTAGTACTTTTTAACAGTAGTTGCATATGAATTATCAGGCAAAGCTTTGCCAAGGCAATTTCAAAGAGCTCAAAAGAGGTCTGTGAAGAGCGAACAGACTTAAAATCAATTGCTTGTGCTGGGAATTTATTAACGTAGTTGATTCCTTGGTTTAAATGTTTTGATTGCATGTCTGCAGTGTGAAAACTTGCTGAAGAGTGAGACTGCCAAGTTCCAAGCAGTTTATGAGAAGTTTTGCAAGGAGAAAGCTACACATTTGCAGACCTTGAAAGGTAGTGTTAGGCCTATCCGGGTTTTGGTTGAATTGCAGTATTCTTTAGTAGTATTTTCCACCACATTTTTATATTACAGCTGAAATTCTCAGAACAATAATATATGACCAGCGTATATCTATGTGCAATAGTTTTCTGCCATGGTATTCATTCTTGAGTAGCCTACCTTCCCTCGAATGATGAAAGAAGATAGTACAACATGAGATGATCATAATCTATGAGTGATATTTTCTGCTACCCCTGGAAGGATGATATTCATTTTGGTCCTTGAGGTTTTTAGCAAATTCACCAAAGCTATTGGGGGGGGGGGGGGGGGGGG